ACAGACAAATCAGCGTTAATCACAAGCATTATTTACCTCTGAAGGAAAAAAAGAGTAATATAATTGCGTATAATCTGCGTAAAAATGGAATTTACAGTAAGTAATAAATGTTCCAAAATTTAGCGTGTAAATAGTATAAAGAAGCGGTCCCAAAATAGACCCTTGAGGTACACCTGCCAACATTCTTACTTAATTTGATTGTCGATTATTATAAACGACTCGCTGCAACCGATTAGTTAAATAATTCTCTAATAATGAAACCGCATTTGTACTGAAACCTACAAAATGTAAAACTGAGTAATCTATCATGATGAAGCGTATTAAACGCTTTGCTAAAATCCAAAAGTGTATGCGCTGTTAACTTGCCTTTATCAACCTGACTTATAATCTCATCAGTTATGTGGAGAAGAGCAGTTAAGCAACTGTGATTTTTCCTAAATCCCGACTGGAACACTGGAAGTATTTCGTTATTGTTATGATTTCGAATTTGATTATCTATTACTCTCTCCAAAACTTTAGATAATACGGGCAACACAGCAATAGGTCTAATTAATGATTATTTTCAGCAGGACGGAAGAACACTATAAGTAGGTAGGGCGACGGTATAGACCACCCCCACCCTTGCACTTTTAGACCACGCCCCATCACTTTGTCGATTAATCAGAGCGCAGCATTCAAATTGGCGGTAGATCATGATATATTTAATTGACGAGCGGAGCGCGACATTCAAATTGCTAGGAAATTCAAATCTGACGGCGCGGTTTCTCGCGGAGAAAGTAACATTAACGGACAGGCACAATTTGCAAAGTACGAAGAGGAGTGATTGACTCAGCGGGAACGGTGGGAAATTAAAAATTAAATAACACGATTTAAATCCTAGCTTAGTAAAAATCAGCAGAGTGTGCGTTGGTGGTTAATTTAAAGTTAAATGTAATATTTAATCTCATGTGCAGAAACAAATGGCTGGGCATTATTGCTGATAAATTCAAAATTAAAGGTAAAATTAAAACGTATGTGCAGAAACGATTGACTGGACTGGTGCTATATTTAAAATTAAATATTATGACTCAAGGGTTGCATAGAAAGGATTGACGGTGAAATTCAAAATTAAACACGAACAATAATAAAACTCTAAATTTCAACGTATGCATTCTGGTGTTCGACTTTGTGGAATTTACAGAAAATTCAATATTAAAGATCATCAAAATGTATTATGTATGTGCAGAACAACTTGTAACTGATAGCTTAATTCATTTAAAATCTATATGTAGCAAAAATTGTATTTTGATACTAATAAGAGAGTAGGAGAAGTTAGTGAACTATAAACAGCAATCATTATATCATTCTATTTGGGGCATATGTTCGACTTATGCTTCATTTGAATTGGTGAGAGCTTCAACATTAAATTTATAATTCAATGCATGTGCGGTACAATCTTGTCACGTGCTACGTTATTTCCTATCAAATCACAGTATCGGCATACATCGTAATATATTATAAGTCAAAAAGTATAATGTGACATTTTATTTCATTTAAATTTCTGTCGGCATAAATTTTAATTAGATATCTTATAGCTGATAGTTTTAATTCACTGACAGAATCATTTATCACATTTCTTAAAAAAGAAATAACTTCAGAACATTGTTTGATATCGAAAGTATGTACACAGGGTCTTTAGTTTAAAGGATGGAGATCTTAAGTTGGTCATTGACCTGGTCTAAACCGATTTGCAGTAATATTTGAAAAGAAGTTGTCGGGAAAAAATTATCATTACTTCGTGGTTGAGAACGCTAGCGCAGTTTAAAACGAGGAGTTTTATGTATAATACTTGATTAACTTGTGTAATATTTTAAACAAGTGTGTACCAAAGTCAGTTTAGCTTTTTAGAGTAAAACCAACGAAGCAGCAATTTTGATGACTTACGTAAAAGAGATTAAAACAGAAGACCTTGGAACTGCAGTAGAAATTACAGCAAACCTTCTTAAACCTTTGACGTAATGCATGAAATTATTAAGTTTTGTAAGCTCAGAATACTGTGAGAATGTTGTTTTTGTGGAAAGCTTTATTCAGCTGGAGTTACACGGATATCTTCAAAAGATTAATTTTTTTTATAGACACCGAGCTAACAAAATTTTGAATAGTGAAGATACAGAGATGAATGGACAAGAAAACAGTATATAAAATTTATACGTAAGGCTTCGTCCGCCACCGCGGGCCCCAAAGTGATCGAGCGGTGACGTAGGCAGTAGCCGCGATTTTCATCTCAATTTGTAATAGTACTTAACGCGTATCAGCGTGCTAGTTCAAAACGTGGCCGAGCGCGTGTCAGTAGATGGCGCTGTAAGTGGAGTGCGGGACTAGTAATTAAATATGCGGGCATATTTAATTATACAGACTACGGCTAAAAATATTTACTGGAATTAAAAGTTTCACTCTAGGAATGTGTGTTAAAATAGAACAGAAAGGGTCAATCCTTCTTCGTCTTAAATGTTCATATATATATATTTAAGTTCATATTAAAGCCCAATGACAAATTCTTTTATTTTTTAAATTGTATTGAAATAACGGGTTATCCATTTTCTCCTTGGGCAAGTAAAGTTTAAAAAAACACACTGAATATTTAAATTTCGATGGTACTTTTATTTCATAATAAAGTTTGGACTATGCCATTATGCGTGAAAAACAATATCATTCAAATATCCTCCACGGAACCGTTTGCAGGACTCAATCTTTTTGAGGTAATTTTCGAAGACTTTTTCACAGTATTCGGGCAATAATTTGGCCATAACTTGACGTATCTCGTCCTTCAATTACTCCAAAGTTGTGGGATTGTTCGCATAACCACGATCTTTAGCATAGCCTCACAAAAAGAAATCCAAAGGCGTTAAATGGTAGGATTTTGATGACCAAGCCACATCGCCGAATCTCGAAATTACACGTCTTGGGAATTTCTCGCGCAATAGAGCCATAATTGGTCACGTTGTGTGGCATGTGGCCCCATTTTGTTAAAACCATATATCGTCCAGATCAAAATCTTCAATTTCAAGCTAAAAAAAGTCGATGATCATGGCGCTCCAATATACCGTATGACAGGCCCAAATGCTGAGCTCGACTTGAAGTCGAAAGATTCGGGTCATCCTCAACACTTTCATTCACAGCGACTATGTTTTCGATTGAACGGGCAAAACGATGATGCACAGGTCTTACGATGTCTGTTACCGATCCAGTCTATTGGAATTTCTCTTCACTGTATTGGTGGTTGTTTGCTGGGATGGACGATTATGTCAATCATAATCTCCGCGTAATGCAGCCACCGAAGATCCACCATTTTCGTAGCATAATTTAATAATTTTAAGTTGTTCGGTCGTAAAACGTTCCATATTGTGAAATGGCAAAACCTTTAATTAAACAAATACGAGTCTGGATGATAGTGACATTTGACAAATATCAATCGGCAGAGCATTACTATCCCAAGTTCGAAATGGATAACCTTTTAGAAATTATTTCGTTTAGGTGTGGTAAAAAAAACAAGTTAGCAAGTTTTTCAGACAGCTGTCTCAGCAAAATAAGCAAGTAGCCTATATGCTGACTTTCTTCGCGAATATAGCCGTGATTCTAATTAATAATCAATTTTCTAATTAGAATTATTATTGTCATAAAATCAACGAGTCTGCTCTGCTTGTTTTTTATTAAAAGTTTCTTGGACTATTATTATAGTGAGTGGTGCTTTTTGTGTGTGTCCTTTTGGATAAAGAAAGGTAAGTGTATATTCATATTTTCAACATAAAAACGTAGCTTTGTCGTAGTTATAATCTTAAACAGCAATTAGATGAAATTATTTTTCATAGTAAAAAATTCTATAATTAATTATATTAGCATTCTAAAAACTATAATTTAGCTGGTAAAACCGCTTATTAAATACAGCAAACTCACTTAAAGGTTTAGATATTATTTAACGAAGAAAAATTCTATTTAAAACCAGCAGGGTCTTTATAAAAAGTTACAAATTATTTAACAACGACAAGATGGCGGTTAAAAATCTAAAGAATTAATTTTTATATTACTATTTTTATAGACAGCGGAAAGACAGAGAGAGAGCAGCGTTGCAAGGGCATGCGTTTTGGCTACAGAATGACAGAGACATGGAAACCAAAAACAAGGCATACGAAGGGTAAGTTGCTTTAAATTTTATCATTTCAGATTACTTTTCAGTTTTAATACACAGCCCACGTATTCTAAAAACTATAATTAGCTGTTAAAATAGCTTATTTATAATACAATCATATTTAAAGCATTAATATTAAACTATAATTATTTTTCATAGTAAAGAAAACTTCTATAATTAAAAATATTGGCTTATTTCAACAGGAAAACAAGCTAAAAAAATCCTCAAAACATATTAACATTCTAAAAACTATAATTTAGCTGGTAAAACAGCTTATTTAATACAAAAAAAATCACCTAATCGTAATAAACGTTAACTAACCGAAAATTAAATACAGGGCTT